GGCATTATTTATGCCATGTTTAGGAAACTTTCAGATGCAAACTTTTCAGCAAGGTAATTTGCTTTTTATATTTTCCATTTTGAAATCGACCCATAAACTTCTTGGTTTCAAATCACTCCGCAACTTTTTCATATGAATATTTTTTATTCAAAATTTATTGCTATCATTTCAATAGAGCTCTATGAAAATAAATTATCATACCGACGAAAAGTTCAGAAAAATGCAAAGAAATTGACATATTACAACTACGCAAATATCTCACTGGGAAAATTTTCAAATGAAAACTTATCGCAAATTTCCATATTTTATATTTCTTATATTAAGCTGACAGTGCAGCATGATAAGAAAAATGAGACGCGGAAAATGTTCTCTTTAAAGAGGTTAGAGTTTTATAATAACACAAGGAGCATAAAAAAGTGAAACGAGTTTTACTGGAATTCAGCGTTCAGCTCCCCCTATCTTGATTGTATATTTTTATACCTACTGACGTTGCCGTTAGCCTGAATACTTGTAGCATTGTCGTAAAGTTTTAATGGACAATTTTATGAAATGATATTCACTTTATAAGCCTGTTTTCTGTGAAGCGTCAGAACGAACTGCTAATTCACGTTTGTATAACATTTCGGAGGAGATACTTGAAATTGAATATTTAATAGGTGTAAGTAAAAATGGCTTAAAATGACATAAAGATTATTTCTCCATCCAGCTTGTCTATTTCATAGAATCATATGAACATAATCCGCTATTTAACGAAAAAAATTACTTTTCGTGAAAATGCACATAATACAAATATTAGATTTTAGGAAATCATCGCATCCCCTATTTGCAAAACAGCAATTTTTAGAAGTTCTAATCCGGTCTCAAAATGTATTTTTGATTCCCCAAAATTTGTTAGCATTTAGTGTATTTTCAGTTTTGAAAAGAAAATCTTCGGTGAAAATTAACTATAGTCCGTTCATAATTTGTTGATAGCTCACTGCAAGTTTGACCCTCATTAGAGAACTGAAATACAGAGAGGACAGCTAATATGATATAATAACAAAAACCAAACTAAAACTGGCAGTTTAAGATGTTTTCGACTAACCCACCTTGTATCTGAAGAAATACAATACAGCTATAAAACTTTTAATCCGATTATGTAGGTATTTTGAGTGGAAATGAGTGACCAGTGTCGTAGAGTATATGATTAAAACATTGGTTACTTTAAATAAATAAATATATTAATATTCTCAAACTATAGGTACTGTAAACTGTATTTTTATTTTAAAAAAATTTCTTTATTTTATTCAAAAATAATAAGTTACTTGCAATTTGTAAAAGATACATTTATTTAATTAATACCTATTTTTAAATGATATAAACTACGATTACTTACAAAACTATTCAAATTCAAAATAAACAGGATCATCTTCGGAATCCGAGTCGTCTTGCAGGTTAATAATTAGCGGTTGTGTCTCTACAGTCGCATCAATTATATTGTCAAGATCCTACATTTTTTGTTCTTCTTCTATTGCATGTCTTACTGCATCTCGCCAATTTTGTTCTGTAATATGTTGTAAAGACTCATATAACAATTCTCGTACAGCTTGTATTTTATATGACGTATTTTTTCTAGCCACATAGCTTTTCATTTGTGCCCAAATGAGTTCAATTGGATTTAATTCGCAGTGGTAGGGTGGAAGTCTAAGGACTGTGATGTTTCGTCTTTCCGCCATTTTGTCAACTACGTATTTCTTGAACTTAGATTTGTGTTGCCGGGCAATTTTTAAAAGTTCTGCTTTAACCATTCCATCTTCGTAAGGCAGGGACTTATTCCGCAGCCAGTCAATGATATCCTGTTTCTTCCACGCAGTCGTTGGAAGTCTTTCAACTAGTCGTGAATGATAAGGTGCATTATCTAATACTATAATTGAGTTTGGTGGTATATGTTCAATCATCTGCTCAAAATACTCTTCGAAAACATCAGCTGTCATCTCCTCGTGATAGTCTTTTGTGCTTTTGGATTCAAATTCCAACAAACCATGCTTAGCAAATCCTTTTTCACTGCCAATGTGAGAAACTTTTAATCTACTGCCTTTACCAGAGGGTGGGGAAATACCAGTAGACCAACCTTCCATAAAGGCTTGCCTGGAGCTTGATATATTTTTATCATTCCAAATTTTTGTGAGAGTATGACCTGCGTTTACCCACGTTTCGTCCTGATAGTAAATTGGCCTTCCTTCAGCCCGAAATTTTCGTATAGATCTTAGATACTTTCTTCTCCAACATATTATCTCTTCCCGGTCAATCAAAAGTGATTTTCGGTCGGATTTCTCCCACCGGAAATTTAATTCTTTTAAAACTTGCCACAATTTGGTTCGTCCGACATGAGGCAAATCCGGGTCGTCTCTAACTTCTTGTAAAATTTTGTTTAAGTTGGGTATTTCTTTTTTGTAAAAAAATTCGTGAATTTTCCTTCGAATACCATTTTTGGCAAATTCATCAATTTCAATAGGTTTTCTCCCCCTCTTTAAGTATTCGTTTGTATTCGGGTTAGCTATACCTTTTTTTTTTCTTTCTGATAGAAACCTATATATTGTTGACTCCCCTACGCCCGTCATGTTGGCACAACTCTTGATTATGTTCTGAACAGTGTTTGTGGGATTCTGAGAAACCAGAGCATCGTGAACGTTCAAAACAATAGTCTTCTCTCTTGGTGAATAGACAGACTTACTGACTGTACGCAACAGTACCGGTGTAAAACTTGATGATGTTGATGATGATGACGAAGCCATCGCAAGCAATCAAACAAAACAAGCAGGAACGAAAGGTACGTATATGTTTGTAGGAATATGAAAAAAAGTTACTCACGCACTGCACAAAATTCGCAAAATAAATATTAGAGACGTTAATTACTGCCGTAGACGCCGAAACACCAACGAGCCGTAAATTAAATGCGATTAAAAAATGTACTAAACCAAAAATTATTTTCGTTCGTAACAACTTCACCCTTTCAAGGCAAGTTTCGAATATAAACTGAAGCTTTATATTTAATGAATAAACACCTCAGGAACCTCCGCCTATGATTTTACGAATTTTACGACCGTTTTATGACTTGGGCCCTCATTTTGTGCAATCGACAAATTATGAACGGACTATAAGTTCTTTAATTAAAGGTGTATCGATATGTATGTTTTGGTATTTTAAATTGTATTTAGAAACGAGTGTGTGTATGTGTGTCCGTACGGACGTGTGTGTGTGTTTCGAGAATGTATATTTTTCTTCGCTTAAGAATAATAACAATGGTTGATATATTTAATATAAACTACAGATCACCTGATTTCGGGCAGGATTTATTTTTTAACTCTTCAAGGTTCTCCAAATTACAAGGTTATGAATGAATGACTGTACTTGCAATTTTCAATTGTGGCGAAAATACATTTTTTGATTTTTTTACATATTCAAATTTAACATCATCGTGGTGATGATCATAACATCGAAATTATTCATTACATTCAATACATTCGTAGACATATCTGTGATTCATGTTGATTAACGCTTTTCTCAAAAGAAACACATTATAAATGACATCATTATGTATACAGGACAAAGAGATTTGCCGTATGTGTCAGCTTCACTTGAAAAGTTCTAACAATTTTGAACAATATTTCTCAAGCATCGTCAAGCATATGATGATCTACTGGTATATTCGTTCATCACGTCATACACAAAACCTATCAAAATTATATCAATAACGCAATTTCGAGCTTAGTTTGACGTATACCTCACCGAAACCACCAATGTGTTCACGTTAATATTTAACTCATTATTGCCACAAACACGAAGACATAACCACCCAGTTCATTGTTAACAAAGGTAATTGAAATACATCAGACTCATTCGAGTAATATAATATCAAACAGGACGCAATTCAACGTGAAATCCCTTTGAGCTAGCTCTAAGGTGTGTTCGGTATGTCTCTGAATGTAATTGTTGCCCTGTGTTATACGGTTTGTCTTGTTTGCTGAAAAATGTATTCTGAGAGAATTAAATTCTATGTCACTTATCTTGAGTTATGCTCACGATGGGAGTTTCATATTATAGTGTCAATGTAGAATTTCTTTAGGTCATCAAAATCCTCAAAATGTCTGGAAATTTTTGACATTTTTAATTAGCAGTAACTTCTTTGAATTTTCTTCAATATGAAAGATTTGTGCAATTCGGTCAAAAACCTGAGACCCAATAAGTTCCATGCCAAATATCTACTTACAAAAAAAATCACTAAAAAAATATAGTCATAAATTTCATCACCTCAACTATTTACGGAAAAAATAATGGATTTGGATGGCTGCATTTTTTTCAGAATCATTGTAACTGAATTCAGTTGAGTTAACTTCAACAAAAGCTTTTGAATGGTATTCTGATAATGGATTTTTTATTGTATAATGTTTGTATCCACTCAATTCATCACATTTGAATAATAAATTCAGAGAAATTTGATAAAAGGATTACAATTCGATTTTGTATGAACTCTTCCTAAAGAAATAAAATTAATCAAATTTCCCCAACGGCCATAGTGTCATTTGTGCCTTCAAACAGAAATAGTTAAAAAATAGTCTACATTTTTTATCGACCTTTTTTTGGGTAATGGTTACCTTCCACAATCTGAAAAAATATAAAAATTATAATGGAGAACTTTATACAAGTGTAGAAGGGCAAACTTTTTAGTTTACCCCGATAAGTTACTGCGTAAAAATCAAAGTATTTTTCACAAAGAAAAATCTTCTATTTATCAGTAACTTGTCGTATTTCACAATTTTGCCTATCAAAAAAATATTAAGAAATTATACTTATCTTTTACGTTTCGGAGGCCAAAATCTGCCTCCGTCTTCAGAAATGGATAAAAATTCGAATAAATATGCAGTTATTCTTTTTTTGAGAGCTTATTTCTTTACTTCTTCGACAGATGTCAAAGAAGTTTTGACATCTTCACTATAATGAGAGAAATAACTTCAACAAAAATTGCTTAAATAGAAACTTTATTATTCATAAAACGGGACACATTTACTTAAAATACTGTAAATTGGTTGATGCCTTTCCAGTATGATATGGGATGATTACTGAAACAAAGAAACATCTTTTATTGAAAATATCATTTTCCAACACTTTTCTTCATTAATAACATACAATTTGAATATTTTAAATGTCTGGGATGCCTAGAAAATCATTCAGACTGTTATGAATGAAAGAATAAATATCTTGAATATCTATATACAAAATTATACGCGCATCTAAGACTTGAGAAGCATCTATTATCAAATTTTAGCTTCCTAGAGCTCACCAGTACGTGGAAACAGAGATAAATGAGTGAATATTGAGTGAGTGACTTTCGAATTTATAAGTATAAATTATTTATGAAAAAGTTTGTTAGAGAGATCTGAATTTTGCTATAAAGAAAGAATGAATTTTGATAAAGTACCTAATTCTCTGAACAGAATGCAACCGATTCCGTGTATTTAGTTGAATTTATTTTAATAATAATATATAATTAAAACAACGATAAAAATAAAATGAAAACAACAATAAAAATTAATTGGCGCTCCGGGGCGACTTCATTGATTCCAGTGGCGCATTTGCTTTTTCAGCTGCAGGAAAACCCGGAAAAACCTGCAGCACCACATTGAGTTTCAACTTATGTTATAGAATAGAAAGTAAAAAAAAATAAGATTATCATTCAGTGCATAAACATCTACAATATACTACCAACATTAGAAAAAAACATGAATCCCCAAAAGTTTAAAAAATATTTGACAACGAAAGCTTGCTATTCTACAAAAGAATATATGGCTTCCCTCACTGCAATGACTCATTGAACATGTATCCCTGTTTCTTGATTTAACAATCTGTGTTTGTTTATACATGTGTAATATATTGATTTTTTTTATTTTGTAATTCTTGACTTATCCTATCTATATTGCTCTGTTTGTACACCTGAAGGATCAATAAATCTATATCTATATCATACTACAAAATACATAATACTCACTTGTGTACCGAATACCATTTTTCTGCATCTCCCCAGTAAGAATCTTGTACCTGGTCTGCATCGGTATCGATGATTATCGGGTATAAACATAGGATCCCCAGAGGCTTCGTACACTAACGCTAGTGTTATAAAAAGTAAAAATACTGGAATCAAATACTTGACGCTCAACATTCTGAGTAAGTACTAATACTTCATAACTGATATCGTTCGATATATATATATATCATTAGAATTATTAATCATATCGGAAGGAAATCCACCACCCGCGATCTCAGGAATGAATAACGTTATAGAAATTCTTTGATTAGTTGCTCAAGGAAACCACAGTGGAAACCACATGGAAATACATGGTGACCATGTGATTCGAGTTTAAATGTCTGAGTTTGAAGTCACATTTTCTGATAAACTATGTCACATGACCATACGTGGAGGGCGTGTTACAGGCCTCGTTCCTTCAATACGATAAGAATTCACGCATAATTCACTAATTTCGAATGAAATACCTTCATTTCCTTCATATACTTTTTGGCATCTTCCTAATGGCACAAAAATTTCCTTCTCAACTTTCCATTCCATGTGAATATGGACGAACCTTCTAGTAGTTTCCTTAATTAATTATAGGGATAGTAAGTACTTGTACTATAATCGACCCGATGAATATCAGAAGGAGCGATAATAGAATGTTTCCATTCATGTTTTACTGATGAAATGTTTCAGTATTTGTATATGGAGATTCACTACTGTTTAGTGTAAAAAAACTGTAGATTATTTTCAGAATCCTGGTCACTCTCTTTGGGAAGTGGTCATTATCTTTTCAAAGAAGGGGTCATACGTCGAATGAAATCGCAACTTATTTGTTATTTCATAGATAACGGAACAAAATTAGCCACTATCAAATTAATCGGAAAGTCGTGAGTCAAGTCTATGAGATCTGCAACAGTAATTGTCAAACAGAATAATCATTTGAAATCGGAAGAAGTATTTTATGATTTTTTGAAAAGTTGATTGATAAATTCACCAAAGCTCTTGGGTTACTTTGTACTATTATGTTTTTTCCAAAAATAATTCACCTGATAACTTTTTTTGATGAATAAACAAAATTAACCATTACAGGCATCGTTTTCCGGGTGCAATTGGAACTATCTATAGCTAAAATCTAATGTATAAAACAAAGTCACAAAATCGAGTCAGTTAGACCATTTTGTCTCCGTCCTGAATTGCAGAAAGTAAAAATGGAACTTACAACATTTGATCACTATTTAGAAAAATTTTTAGAATCAATCTCAAAATGGAAAATTGTAAAAAAAGTAAAAATCGATGTCCTCGGATTCTCATTATAGATAAACTATTCTATTACGTAATTTACGATCATCGCCGCTTCATGCTTTTCAAGCATCAACTGTTGTTATCATTATTTCCATTAAAATGTATTGGTATAAATATAACATAATATACATTGATAACCCCTCTTTTATTAGACTTTCAAAAACAATTAGTCGATTTTAAACGGGCATACTCTTGAGTAAAGAAAGAAAACTGCTTGAAGGAGTGCGTTAATATATAGAACCGTTTTCATTTCAGATACATTCCATTCTATTTCTATTCATTTCGAATGCATGTTTTTGTTAATCGAAATAAAAATTAAGAGATAAATATTTTGGTTCTCACTAATGAATTTTGGTGTTTTTCCGCCATGTATAAGTGAACGTTCGTAGTGAAATAATTTTCATCTGGTTTCCCGTTTATTCAGTTAGGATAAATTGGCAACGTCTACGCCACGAAGCTAACCACAACTATAAACAAGAAGCAACTAGCCACAGTCTGTGTTCTGTAAATTCAACTACAATATATGTATATATGTTTGACAAGCTTCTCAAATTGGGTTCACAATGGAATATGATATGGAGTAGTTCTATATAAGTACATTCCATTTGATATTGTAGAGTGAAATGATTTGATTGTTTATTTAGAGCTTCCTTATCAGCGAATAACATTGGAGGCATTTTATTTAAAAAAATTAAGTTCTCCCCAAAAACTACAATGCATGTGTGCCTGTCATGCAGGCCAAGGTAGCGAAAATTTGCCTTCAAATGTAATTTTTTGCCATGTGCTACTGGGGTGAATCGCCAGTCATTTATATTCATCCTGGTATGAAAATATTAAATTGATAACATCTCATTTTTACGTTCTGTAGAGAGAAACTCCTGAAATGGGGAAAGAATATCATGTGATTCTGGAAAAAAACAACACTCTGTATATTAATATTGAGTTGGCATTTCAATTTTTTTATATTAACATAGTGATGAATAATGTTGTTGACTGTCATACTTTTATGACATGTATTTTTAATTTATTGATAATAACAGTATCAATTTTGCTGAGATCACGATTCACAATCAAGTATCTTTTATCGCCATTTCTGTGGTAATAAAATAAAAAATAAAATTTCATTTTATTCCAATCTGTCGGAATTCAAGACAACACCCCTCTAATTAATTAATTTTCTCCTGAGATGGGTTTTGACGAATATTTTTGGAGACTGGTAGGCATAATTATACGCGCGAGTGAGTCAATTTTAATAGGCCTCCGGCTGTCGGATGTCAAACACCGATCGAGAAATAGCGAGGAATAGATGTGATGTACGTTGGATTGAGGTTTAACTTTAATCACGTAAAAGTTCCCCCGAGCAACATTTTCGTTTTGTCAACTTTGACGTTGATCAGTGAAGTTGGTTCGAGACTATTGTAGGCACATATCTACAATATACTCTCAATAATGGAGAAATAATATTTTAATTCAATTTAAATTTATCATTTTCAAATGATTGATCCAAAGGAGTCTGAAGTTAGCCCGAAAATAACTGGGTTAACTCCACGCTAGACTGAATTTTCGTGATAAAGATTCACCGTTTTATTTCGGAACAATCGAAAAAAAAGGATTTCACATTGGCCACTAAATGATTACTCGACATAATGCATTCTCCATTTCATCGTTGGTCCCGTTTTTCCATAGAACAGACACATTTGTCCACGTACACGAAAAATTTACGTCGAACGCTTACCCAGCACTTTGAAGTTCATCTCAATTCACTTCGTGCAATAATTTTGAGAACTATTTCTGAATGAATATAAACATAACTATCAGCGCTCCACAGTATGTTGAGGAATGGTGATATTCCATAAAAAAACTCAAGAAAGGATTGCACTTCACTAGTTTCATTGATTAAATTATGGCAGTCGTTCAGTAAAATAGTTGTATTGATTACGTCATTTAGGTAGACAAAAACTGTACAGATATATTTGTGTGAATTCATTAGTTAATTAGTTTTTTATTGATTATCAATTAATTATTAGTTATCGAGCATTCTTGTAATTTGATTCCATAATTTCCACAGCATCAAAAATATCTTTAGCAAGAACTTGAGGCAACTGCCAAGCTGCAAAGTGACCACCATCATAGTCAGAAAGCTGCACGATATTGGGATATGTTTCAGTTAGCATACCATCAGCAGTGAAGAAATCATATTTAAATCTGGCACATGCCGTTGGCACTGGAACGGGTTGTCTGAAATGTAAGGTTGACGTGACTTAAATATGGAAAATGGATGTCGATTCGACAGTTTTCAATTAGACTAAATAGTTATTCATTGCAATAGACTGTTGTCGAAAACAGAAATTTTCATTTTCTATACTATACAATTTAATGGTATCCATCAGCGGTTCTTTCAATGCGTCTAGAACTCACCTTGTGATTCCTAATCCCATATGAGCTCTATTGAAAGTCTCTGAGTATAACCTGAATGATGTTGTAGCTGATTCTGTAATCCAGTATATCATTATGTTATCAAGTAAATCGGTGTAAGTGAAAAATTCCGTCAGTCCACCGTCTTCACGTAGCTGCCAGTTTGGATTGGTGCCAGATGTAAATTTCTCAAGAATGTATGCTGCCAATCCCAAAGGAGACTCGTTGATTGCAACTCCTGAAAAATTGTAAATGCATGCATTTACAAAGAGCGATTTGACAGTAGAAAGTAAAATATTCAAGCACACTTTCTCAATGTGAGGATTCAAGGACATACATATTTCCTCATATCTACAAAAGGAAGCATGCACATTGCACAGTCGATCGCTTATTACCAATAGGAGTCACCAATAGGAGCAAATCGCTCATCAGTAGTTTCAGTTAGAAGACTCAGCTTTTCTAGGAAACAATTGACAATTTCACGTGAACAACTATAGTTTTTTTTTCATTCAAATCAGACACGTTAACATTTGTCAGTATTTATATTCCGGAGATGTCACTTAGGCAGTATAATATAATCCTTTCATCGAATGTCTGTCAACTAGACGAAACTTATCGAAAAGTGAGTAACAGCAATTTGAACCTAATATGCTATTTCATTGGCATTATTAGTTAAATAAGCGAAAGTGAATTTCAGCCATCCACTTAAGAGCTAATTCATCAGTTGAATTCATTTTTCTAATGATGAGCCACAAACAATTTTTTTTCGTAAATTCACCTACCTAAAGTGTCAGGTTTCGTAGCTTGCAAGTGCAGATATCCAGTTTCTCGTAATCTCTTGAAGAAGTATTCCATTGTTGGATGAACTCTTTCATAGTGTTCAGGTCTAATGTACCACCAAGAGAATGATGGGTAATATTGACTGAAGAAGTTCTTCAAAGTAGACAGAGGTGTGAAGACGTGGCACATGTTTGAATGAAAACCCATCACCGAATCTGGATATAATACAGACATGTGTTGCAGTATTATAGACCCGAAATCTCCTCCCTGAACATAGAACTTTTTGAAACCCAGTTCTTTCATCATGTTTTTGAATACCAACGCTATTTGGGCTGCTCCAAGTCCGGGTTTCACAGCTCCCTTGGAAAATCCATATCCTGCAATAAAAGTAAACAAAAATGTGACTCTTTGTGATTTTCGAATGCATCCACAAAATTATTACGTAGCTCCTATTCCTGAAGCAAGGGGAATGTTTGGAAGAATGTAGTAGTTACTGTTTACAAAAAGATAGGTACAAAATCTATGGACACAACGATATGTAACTTTGGTGACTTTGGTGACTCAATTTGGGTAATATGTTCAAAACTTCAAAGCGACAATACTACTGAATAGTTTGTTTTATTTGAGGCTGTTCACATTTATACCAGAATAATATTTTGGCAATGAAATTTAATTTTTGATCTCTATTTTGGGGAAATATTTTAAAACAATTAGTTGGGTTTACTCAAACTGAATAAATGTTTTTTTGGCATTATAATGATAATATCATTATTAATATTCTGGTGTCGATATTTTATATGTTCTTTTTTTGAAGGACATTCGCTTCACTTGGAGATGAAAACAAATATTGTCTCAATTTATGATCGAAAGGGACTTGGAGGGATGGGAAATCTTTGACAGTGGTTTTTTATATTTCGGAAATTTGTAATCATGTGTAATAGCACCAGTATTATATTATTTATCATACAGCCATATTTCAGATAGATTTTCGAATTTGGTGATCGCTGGCTTACAAAAATAAACATAAATTGCAATATCCTCATTCTACTTCATGTTACAGTATTTTTTCTAATACCCAGCTTAACAAACTGGAGTTGAGGAATGTCAAGATTTTTCACTTGGATGTTAGAGTTCATTAAAAATAAAAAATACCTGGAATGTGAGGTGCAATTACTTCGAAGGCAATTTTTTTATCATTCTGGGGCCTTGTTAGGATCGGCAGAATGTCGTAAAATTCCCTCAGCGACCCTGGCCATCCATGTAGCAGGAGAAGTGGGATGATTTTAACTCCATCTTGCAACTTGGGTTTAACATGAATATAATGCAAATCTAAGCCTTGGATATTTATTAGGAACTGAGGAAATTTGTTCAGATACTTCTCGCGTTCTCTCCAGTTGTACTTTGATTTCCAGAAATCTACAACATTCTTCAGAAGTTTTGTATTCATTCCATATTGCTGTTGAATTCCCTCAAGAGGTGGTGTTAGTGATCTGTGGTTTTCCAGTCGCCATTGTAGATCTTTCAGAACCTAACGAAAAAAATATAATTGGTGAATATTTTCATATATTATACACACACCTATATAGCCAAAAAGTGGATCTACCCAATGAGAGACTTATCAAAGGAATAACTCTGATTTCGAATTCAATTGAACAAGTTAGGATTTGATTTGTTTGTTTGATAAGCAAGGGTGTGAAATCGAATAGAAATCGGTTTTTAATCAATTATTAGGGAGTTTTTGAGATGATTATGATGATAACTTGATAACTCAAGTTAACTTGATAACGTATTTGTCCAAATAGTTTTATACTTTCCACGTTATATGTGACCATAAATGGATACAGATATATCTTGGTTATCGCAATAACAGACATAAAAACCTGCAGACAAACCCAGAAAACAGTTTTAACACAGTTATCTATGGTTGCGAAAATGTACTCTTACCTCATGATGGTTAGATCAAAATTATTTTCCATTTATGTGTTTTTTGGATATTTTGATATTATTATTACAAATCCAAATCCACATGTACAGAACTGACATTACATTTATCGAAAAATTTTGATTTATCGTTTTGTTTTTCATAATAAGCCTATGAACTTCTCGCTATTTTTGATAATTGACTCACCTTATCCGAAACATTGATAGTAAAAGGTTGAATGGTTGGCTTAACCGATCCTATATTACCGGGTCCCCACCATATTTCTTCCAATGATGGTGGCAATGGAGGAGGATCCAAGAATGATTTAATTTTGTATCCCAAAAATATCACAACTATGCCTAACAGGATCGGTAACTTTTTTGCCATGTTTTTAACCTATCGAACTGAAACTGTGACTATAATGAGGAAGGTGATACAATTCTCAAATCTCATCTGCAAAAAAGAAATTATACGATTCGATATCGACAACAAACAAGTTGGTACAGTCGAATATAAAAACATCGGAATGGTGGAAACCATTATTTGTGCTTATCAGTTACTGTTACATCATTTTCATTGTATTGTATTCTTGTTTAAACTATGTCATAGAAAATTATTGTAATGTACAGAGTGAAAACTCATTACGGAGCTAATTAATTACATGGCTTACATGACTGATAGTTTCAGATTAATTTGCGCTATTAATCCTGTTTTCTTCGTGTTCCATTAGACATCTTGAATGCCTACCTAATGAAGAAAAACAGATAAATCTGTTAAAAAATATGTTTGATAAAGGTGCTATAATTTCAAATGGGTCACACTGTACATATTCTTTCTTTTTTCAACCCATGCTACATAGTGTGTTTCTGAAATTTGTTAACGTAATGTAACTTCAAAAGTATAAGTCACTCCAATTTTGTTATGAGTATATTCAAACTGAGTGAAATATTTGAGGTTATTAGCACCTTGACTGATAACCGATATTGATTTATTTCGATATAACTCATCTCACAACCAATTTTCTGATTTCATTGAATGTACTCATGAGTGTACTTTGAACCGTAATGGAACATTACGTAATGGTCGTCATACATGAAGCAGGACGGTATCAAGAATTATTATTCATTTGAAATTTTTCATTTAATTTCAAACTGGTTTGTTACTTACTTATTATATTTTAAGACTTGCAGATAGTTTCATCCATTCATAGAACTTTGTAGAGACATAATATTTTAACATTTTGGGAGCCAAAATCTGCCTTTGCTTTCTGAATAAAAAAATGCGATACGTTTTTTTCCAGTCTCTACCACTCGGCCTCCAGGTTTAGAGTTAGAAAACTGAGAAGCTCTTGCTCTTGATGTTTAAAAAAAGGATAGTGACAGTTGCGGTCATTTAGTCGACGTTCATCTTCTCTATAGACTCTGGGTTCTTTGCTAACTTCATGGTCCATAAAGGTTGCCATGAGTTGCTGAGGAAAGAAGTTCCGTTAGTGACACTGAGTGGATCAGAGTCATACATCATTTTGGCACGGATACCCACACTTTAGGATGAGGCGTCATTTAAGAGGACTCATACATTCACATGTAATACCTCACTTGGCAAGAGTATTATAACGTCCCCTTCCCCGCTGCAGGAGAGTGCCATATCTATACCTGCATAAAATTTTCCTCCACAATTTTTATTTTTTTGAATTGTGGAAAATGAAAAATTTCAAAAAGATTTAAAGAAACAGAGTATGACGACTCTCTTGTAAGTCATTGAAATAAAAGCTTTGATCAGGCACGTATCACATTTTATTTGTTCTTAAAGTAAAATCGCAGAGTATTTGTTCGTAAAGTGAAATCGCAGGGTATCCAGGAAAACCTTTACGCTTTCACGAAAAGTAAACCTTGCTCTGGAATGGTCGAGTTCATTACGTAATGGATCATAAAACGGCCCAGTTCACTCCCTGACAATCATGCTATATTAAAGTATGGCTCGAAGGGTCGTAAAAAGTTACCTACATAAACGTTAATGCAAATGTGTTAGTGTTTACCGTGTCGTTTATTTCCATTAACTCAAGAACATAGTGAAGGGATAAACTTCAAAGAACGTTTGATGATAATGCCCTTTCATGCGTGTTCACCCGTAAGACTTGAGAAGGGATGAAATACTTGGAACATACTTTACCGTGATTTTCACATCAACTGAGATCTTGATTTCAGAAATACTTAACATATTTTCTTTCCATAATCCAGGAATAAAATATTTGGTCATGAAAAAAATTTATAATTTCATCCAGCCTTCCAAAGTTTGAGTTTTCATTCATGTTGGTTTTGCTATACATCTCTAACTCAAGTTTTTTTGAAACCGTTATTTTAACACCTCGACACGTGTTTATCTTCGTCTTGAATATGATCACTCTATGTACATGTTTAGATGATATCAGTCCAAATATTACGCTTCAATCGAAGTTTCTTTAGTAATATTTTTTCACCATCATTTCATTATTTTGTTCTATCAACTATTGATCATATTATGGAACAAAATATGTTTGGCTGTCACAATTGTCAAATATATTTTCAGAAAGACCACCCAGTGAGCTAGATCATCCTTGAATAGAAAATCAGTTTTAGCCTTTCTTCAAATCTCATTATAGTTTTTCCAATAATCATTCCTAATCGAAAATTTTTACATGTCGTTACACCGTTCACATTTTAATTTTCAGGTGAAAGTGATGCTGCGAATATCAAATCCGACGTCTGGATCAGGTGGTGCCCCGGGAAGCTCTAATGGTTTTTTCAGTTTGGATAAACGGAAGAAACAAGTCACATTAACTGATCCTTCGGTGTGTAATGGATCAGCTGCGCCAGAGGACAGGCGAGTGGGGGTAGCTGCACCCAAGATGTTCGCTTTTGACGCAGTCTTTTCGCACGACGATTCGCAGGTGAGTTTCATGTCAAATGATTTACCTATTCCATTCTTCCGCACAACCCTAGGGTTTCAGTTTTTTTGGATCTCATTTGCCGCATAGTCCGTGCACATATATACTTACAAAAACCGCTACCCACTATGTAATTGTCAATCAAGTTAATATATGGCGTTAGCAAATATATTAATTAAAAGTATATGGTATGTTTTCCTGACTTTCTGTTTCATTTTAATCATAAGTGCCCTTTATGGTTTGTTCTACCGACAAAGACGGGTTCTTATATTCACCGAAGAGTTTACAGATTGATTCGATGATTTCATCTGTTAGTTCATTAGAAATGTTGGCGCGTTTCTATTGGTCGAAGTAAAACATCATAATTTTTTGTTGAATTTAGAAAATCGCCTCATTCCGTCGTCTGTTGTTCAGGACGTGTGTTACTCTGGTTCTAATTTGATTCTTATCAATTACTTATTTTCATAACCGAATAGACCTTTCTTCACGAACACCCTGTATTCCTGAAACTAGCTGACTTGATCAATGTTTTTGTTGGATCGGTATTTTTCGTCTGAGATTCTTTATATTCTCGTCATTCCGTTTCATATTTTTTTCCTAAATCATTATTACATCATAATAATGATGGAAATGGCACATATATTTGATGATCACATTTAACAAATATTATTATCAACAAAGTCTATAATGAAAACTAATATTTAAAAAACCTGAAAAAATAATATAATACCAAATTAATATTTCATGTCGTGTACACTTTTATACACGTTTTGATGTAGTCAAACTGTAATGAAGTTCCTGCTATCCCTATTATCCTAAATACAAGAATTTTTCGCATATTGCTGATACGAAGGTTTGTGATTAGGTGGTTTAGCGATGGCTTCGTTTATGTGATCTGTTATACAATGATGAATCATTCACAATCAATGAAGATTTTTAATGGAGTTTCGTATATCAATCGCATGTCGTTATCATATAAAAAATAACTTGTCCAAAACAAGCATTGTTCCCAAACGCATGAACTGCCACACTTTTCACGAAGCGCGTTTCACCTACCAAAATGACGTCTTTAGAAGTCGAATTAGACTTGTGAATAATTGTTCATAACATTTTTTGATACAAAAACTTTCAATTTCGAACACAAATGAACTCAGTAACTCGATTAAAATGCTTCAAGTTTGTAGACTGTCCCTACATTGTTTTCTGTGAGCGACCGAGAAAACCTACCAGCCTCTAATTAGCTGTTTGTTGAACCAGCAATTTCTGAGATTTTTTCGTTTTTCACTCGCAATCAAATTAGCATAATACCATTTATCACGATTTTTTCCGATTTATGTAAAACAAACGTATTTCTCGTTTTTTGAGCGCAATCGAGTTAATGAATACAATTGCAGGGTAATTTATTATTTCGGGGTAGTAGTGTCGCAACAGCTCAGTGCAGTCTAACGGGGGAAGTCAGATCGACTCTGATATTGAAAAGGAAATATTTTATTAGTTTTTGGGAAAAAGCTTTTTTGGCATTCTATTTCTCTCCATTATTAAATACAAAATTTGCCAATCTTGGATGAGAATGAAAATTCTTCACAAACATATGTAGATCATGCTCTCAAATTACGAGGTCTAATTTCTTGACCATAAAATAGATGGACGAGTAACGAACAGGTGAATATATTGAACGACCACCTTAAGCTCACCCATATGGGCAGAGTATATCGGTTTCAACAGGGGTCTTCTACTTTTGATGTAGTTACCATGGCTCATATACCATCGATAAAAAATTTAATGAAAACACTTTCAGTCTAGTCAGTCGCCTTCTTCCCAGATAATTCTATCACACAGTACCAATGTTTATGAAAATTTGGTTATGTTCTACATGCCCTCTACTGCAACACGTGTTGCTTTTATCGTGGGGGTGTATATCATCCCCAGAATATTTCGAAACCTATTATTGATATGTAAAGTATAATGTGTATTCACCAATGCTGCAATTATTAGTTTTTGAGTTATTTTGAAGTGAAGGAATTTTTACAAACGTACCCTTCAAGACAAACTATGGCATCTGCGAGTAAATTGTTAGAAATGCAGAGACATTTGGAAAGTGTCATTTTTACCTTATTGGGGAAACTCAGTAAACTATTGTTTTGAGGCAAGACTCCATATCTGCATGTTTCATTAATAATCTTAAAATACACTGTTGGTATTGGACTACAGTCTACTTTCATTGGAAACATGTTCGGAGTTTTCGGGAAGCAACACCTAAAAAAGTCCATTTTCATCGTCTACATACGAATCGCACATTAAAAGGTAATACCTCGTTGATCCTTAGCTTGCACAAGTTTCGACTTCTACAGGTTGACGTTCGTAGGGGGGCGACGGCTTATTAACGGAAATAGATGTTCAACATAAATTTAACGAAATTGCAAGTAAACTGCATTCAACGGTCTCAAGATCTATTATAAGTCTATTCAAAATATTTCTCGAATACGTACGCCACTGTTTCTTTCCCCTAACTTTCGCATCTATCTTCAAGGCGAAAACTGATCGGCCTGCAGTAGAATGTTACTTTTCTTTTCACAGGAATCTACAGTTTCACGGTAGGAGGTTATAATTTTTTTCTACTAAATATTGAGTTCGCTTTAATTCGTGCATTGATCTCGAAAGTAGTGAATTTGTTATAAATAAATGATTTTTATTACTAACAGTGAAAAACTGTAAATTTATGGTATCCATCTACTTACTGCTCAGATAGTGAGACGCTTCAGGTATTTTGTATTTCAGGCACGTTTCGCTGCATGATACTTTCATCAATTGGACTGGTACATCAAACTATTCTTCAATTTTTTTTGTATGGTAGTAGGTAGTAGGTACAAATCCTAATTCGATAAATGACCTATTCTAGTAAACATACGGCTGATCGCAGAAACCTATCACACACACGCACATCATCATAATCATCTTCAGGATATGACTAAATATTTGTTTGAAGGTGATTGACAATGTTTCGTGATGAATTTCACTAGTTCGGACTTCCATTGTCTACTATATAAAATGATTTGAAATCCCTGAAACAAGTAAAAAAGAATAATTAAAAAAGGATAGCTGAAAATAACAATTATATTAAGCAACAATAAACCTGAAATGAAATGATAGTGAAATAACCTACAAGTAAAAATATAATAATTGAATAAATAAAAATTAAGGGAATGAAAAAAGAAAATAATAAAAAAATTTAGAGATTCCAAGTCACGTTAGTTCACGACGTTTCGATTGTT